TTTTACTTTAAACTTTTTTTATCCTTTATAACTAATATAAAAATATTTTTATAATTTATTTTAGATTATATTTTTTTTCTTCTTATTTCGTGCTCAATCAAATGCATCACATAAATGAATAGGATGAAGTATCTTTTGTCTTAGCAGTGAGTAGGAGTGGAAAACGGGTTGGACGGATCGGATATGATTCGGGTCGAAAACGTGTAGTGAAAAAATGGATATATTATCCTACCCGACCCATATTTAAAACGGATAAAAAACAGGTTAACCGCCGGATAATATGGATAACCATATTATCCATAACTTCTTGCATATGATCACTTTTGGGAGAATTCTTAGTCTCCCTAACTTGAGGAGCCCCCAAGTTGAGACTTTACAAATGTAAAAGTTAAACCCATTGGTTATATATTTTCTAAATGGATATATTTTTTATCCATATTTGACCCATTTTTAAAAAAGTTTATTATCCAACTCATTTTTTAGTAAATAATATGGATGGTTAATTATTTTTTTAAACCATTTTGTCACCCCCAGCGGTGAGTAATGAAGTAGTCGGGAAGTTTGAGGGGGCTGGGGTTGAGGTAAAGAGCAGCAGCTTTATGTGTAAAGATAAAAGATGCAAGTAGCTAGCCAGGCCAACTCATTTGGTCAGTAGTCAAAAACAGTGATTACCTCTCTACCCCACAGCCACCATGAGATGAAATGTGTGCCAAGAAAGTCAGTGATTTACTACTGACTCCTGTAATGCAGTGACAAAAAAAAGATTTTGAAAGGACAGTAACGCGTACGACGTGTTCCCATAGCATAGGTCAAAGGTACTAACCGATCGACAAAATTAATAAGACTGCACATTATATTGTACCGTACCTGTCTTCACGTGTACCCCTCTCCCCTTTGCTCTTTTGACTGGTTTTTCACTTCTGGGGTCACTCCACGTAACCACTACCCTCTCCACTCCCTCTTCTCTTCGCCCCTCATCAGCACCGTGACAAGAGTTTAAGGGGCCCTTTGGTTACAGGAATTAGGGTTATCGCATTATAAATTTGAGATTAATTTAATTTTATCTAGCCAAACGACCTCTAAACACAATATATATAACTAGTTATAGTAACTTATATAAAACTAATATTAAGCTGTCACTATATATCATTTAGGAGTCATTTGGTTCAATGTTGAGATACACAAGGTTATTTTATGGGATTATAATCCTGGGATTGATTAAAATCTCACCACCTATGTGAAATAGCTCATAATTGTAAGTATTTGATATAAGTTTATTCTGATATGAGTAAATATAGGTGTATAAAAAACATTAGATTAATTCTATAAATTTTACACCCTTACAGCAATGGCGGAGCCACCTTATAGGAAGGGGTGTCATGTTGCGAGAAAAATCACTATGTAGGGTAGGTAAAAAATATTTATATATATATATATATATATATATATATATATATATATAATATGTATTGACTCCTCTTAATTTCGTGGTATGTTTACTTTTATATATTTTGACACCTCTTAACAAAATTCTGACTACGCCACTACCTTGCAGTAAAACTAACACAAAATGTGCGTAGAGTTATATTACCAGTTCATTTAATCAAAGTTGAAGAGTAAGCACTTGTTTACTTGAGGTAAGACAAAACTTCAAGCAATATCTATCGCCTCCTCTGCGGCCTCCACCCCCCCCCCCCCCCACAAACACCCCATCGGCAAAAAAAAAATTAAAAAATAAAGAAAAGATGAATACCTAAATTCGGAAGAAATTTGAATAGTTTTCTTACTACAATATTTTTAATATATTTAATTATTTATTTTATATTGTACCTAACTCTGGAAAATATGGTACGAGATAGAAGAATACCGTATTACAGAAGAAACAATAAATATTATTACAAATCACTGATTTGCAATAAAACATTTTTTAATTTCCCGAAACAAGAATGCACAAAGTCACAGGAATCTCCACATAGATTCAAAATTGGAGTCCATGTTCCACTGGCTTTCCTATTTGACACAAGAATAGCTTGTAACTGTATGCAGGAATATCATATCCTGCCCCAAATATACTAATACAAATTCAACTATAAGGTTCAGAGATGTAGGAAAATATAAAAAAATAAAAATAAAAATAAGACACACACAGAACCCTAAAGCGGAACATTCCTCTGAGTGGCCATAACAGCAAGGGAATTCTTCATCTCACAAGACAATTTCAGAACTTCTTCCAAGTCAACTGGATGGACCCCATCCTGGACCCACTCGAAATTCTGCACCAACTTGGCCACCCATAGCATCACTGTGACCAACCCTAAATTCTTCCCCGGGCATACTCTCCTCCCTGCCCCAAACGGTGCCAAGCGGAGGTCACCACCTCTCACGTCAATATTTGCACCACCTTCAGCCTCCATGAAACGCTCAGGTTTGAACTCAAGTGGATTTTCCCACACATGTGAATCATGTGTAATAGCCCACATGTTAACCATTGCTGTCGTATGAGAGGGAACAACCATGCCATTGCTTAATTGAACGTCGGTTGTAGAAAGTCTTGCCCAGGAGAGAAGTGGACCTGGTGGATGAACTCTTAGCGTCTCCTTGACAACCGCTTGTAAATACGGCATTCGAGCAGCGTCAGCATCAGTCACGGCTTTACCCATTGTGACATCATCAACTTCTTTTTGCAACTTCTTCTGCACCTTAGGGTGTAATATAAGCTCCGCCATAACCCACTCTGTTAAGAGTGCTGTAGTGTCAGTTCCTCTAAAAATCATTTCCTGCATAACATTAAATGAATTCACACAATCTGCATAATTGGAATCGCTTACAAAAATTCACAATTAAGAATAATCGTCAAAATATAACTTGCTAGTCAAGGCCATATTTAACGTTACCAAATTACTCGCCTATATTTAATATGAATAATTACGGTTATGTAAATATATTAGTTTTACGTACCCATAGAACAGCAACCATGTCATCTTCCTCTAATTTTTCTGCTCCATCAAGAGACAAAAGAACATCCACAAAATCTGCATTATCTGACATTGTTTTGGATTCAGCACTGCACCTGTGTTCCTCAATAATGGCTTTGACAAGCTTTCGTACACGTGGCACAAGAGCTTCACAACGTTGGACAATACCCGAAGGGTCATGGAAAAACCTTAGCCATGGAAGATAATCAGACCAATTAAAAGCACCCAATAATTCAAATCCTTCCTTCACCATATCTTGCAACTCCTTTAGATCTTTGCCATTTTTACTGTAGCGTTTTCCAAAAACACTTCCCATTATATTATTCAAAGCAGCCAACCGCAAATGTTTCCTCAAAGAAACCGTCCCGTTTTCCAACTGCTCATTTACTATGTCATGTACCATAACAGAGCAGTCAAGTTGACGGCCCGTTTCATGCGCTGCAATTCGCTTCGGGGCAAAGAGATGCGAAGAAGCGATACGTCGTAGGAGACGCCAGTAAGTTCCATTAGGAGCGAACCCAATGGCTCTGCTAAACATAAGGCTCTTAGCGGATTGTTTGACGGGACGGTCAGCGAAATGAGGAGAAGTTAGAATCTCTTTAGCTATTTGAGGATCGGAGGACACAACTACAGGGGTGGAACCTAGGCTAAAAGCCATAAGCTGTTTAGCTTTTTGAGTCCAAGCCGCAGAGGCTAAAGAGCGATGAGCCAAGCCACGGCTTAGAGTGAAAAGGCTACCAATAATTGGAAAGCCACGGGGTCCAGGAATTGGGATTTTTCCACTATGATTACGACCATTTTTCCAAGCTACACCCCCGGGAGAACAAGCCCAGGTGATTAGAGTGATTGACAGAAAGGCTAAAACAAGGCAAAGGATAACATATTCGTCAAGAAGAGTTTTCGAACCAAGAAATGCTGGTAGTGTAAACACCCACCAGTTGGAATCCTTTGTCATCATAGCCAAATCCATGAGACTAAAGGGAGACGAAAGGACAAGAGACAGAGAGGGAGAAAGAGAGGAGAGATGTTTCAAAATGAAAAGTTTACTGAGTTTAAATAGGCTGGGAATTGGAAGGAGGCCACCAATGAAAATCTAGTCAAATTCAATGACTTACCATAAAACTATTTAGTAATCATATTATAACAAGATACTAATATAACGGAACTTCCATTTCGTTTGAACATCTTACCATAAAATATTTATGATAACCTTATTACATTAATATCTTACTATAAAAGAAAAATCCAGGGACTTTTGGTTTGGATTTTGTTTTTCCAAGTCAGAAGATACTAATATAATGGAACTTCCACACACACACACACACACACATATATATATATATATATATATATATATATATATATATATATATATATATATATATATATATATATATATTAGATTTAGTGTACGTGTATTGCACGTGTATTTTATGTATTTCAATAAAAGAAATATAGTGTATAATATAGAATAAGAATGAATTATTGATAATATTAATTATAGTCGAGATTGTATAGGGTCAAATTTGACCCTCAGCATCTCTACGCTATTGGGTACGCCCAGTGAGTGAACGCCGACTAACGTAGCGGGTACGACTCGGACGTGGGGACACACTACAAAAAAAGGCTCATTTTGTGGGGGGGG